GCTATAGGCGCCGAGCCAGTGGGGGTTATTTTCGTTGTCTTATTCTAAAAAATGCACAAGCAGTTGCAAATGAGAGAGGCGGTCCCTGACTTGAACCCGGCTGGCTGCGCGGGGCTCTCTCCCCTGTGGGCCAGGAGCACCTTCTTCCTTTGTCCTTTCTTCCCGACAGAGTTCAGAAGGAACAGCTGGCTGCCATCTTCAAGCTCATGAAAGACAACAAGGAGACGTTTGGCGAGATGTCAGATGGCGACGTGCAGGAGCAGCTCCGGCTCTACGACATGTAGCCTGTCACCTGCTAGGCCCCTGGAGACCCCGCAAGACCCCGCGGCTGCTGTGCCTCAACTCTGTCCCGACCCTCAACCTGTGCACTTGATTTCCAGACTTCTGTAGGCGTAATTTTGTCATAGATGCAGGCACACATTCTCTATCTACAGGCATCACGAGTGTCCTCTTCACAGGGGGAGTCCCTGACCGCTTCGGCTTCTGCTGACTGCAGAGGTTGGAGCTGCTGTCAGGGGAGGCCCTGAGGTCTTAGCCAGATCCAAAGTCAGCCTTCTGCACAGACCCAGGCAGGCAGTGGTGCAGGAGGGCTTGGCACCCAGCTGGTGATGTGGAAAGGATTCAGGGTGCTGTGGGGAACCCCAGGATCAGTGCCTGTTGCCTGAGTGTCTCATTCTGCCTTAGAAGGACTTCTGGAGGCTTCTGTAACTGTAGGGAAGCAAGCAGTAGGGGAGCATTCTTTTAGCAAAAAGTCTAACGTGGGTGGGTGCCAGTGGCTCATGCCTATAATCCCAGCACTTTGGGAGGCTGAGATGGGAGGATCACTTGAGGCTAGGAATTCTAGACCAGCCTGGACAATGTAGTGAGACCCCAACTCTACAAAAAAAAAATACAAAAATTGGCTGGGCATGGTGGCTCATGTCTGTAATCCTAGCACTCTGCGAGGCCAACGAGGGTGGATCACCTGAGCTCAGGAGTTTAAGATCAGCCTGAGCAAGAACAAGACCCCATTTCTTAAAAATAGAAATATTAACATGGCAGGTGCCTATAGTCCCAGTTACTTGGGAGGCTGATGCAAGAAGATTGCTTGAGCTCAAGAGTTTGAGGTTGCTGTGAGCTATGATGACACCACAGCACACAACCCAGGGTGACTGAGACCCTGTCTCAAAAAAAAAAAATTAATCAAGCATGGTAGCATATACCTGTAGTGCCAGCTATTCAGGAGAGTGAGGCAGAAGGATCGCTTGAGCCCAGGAACTGAGGTTGCAGTGAGCTATGAAACCACTGCACACCACCCAGGACAACAGAGTGAGACCCTGTCTCAAAAAAAAGAGAAAAAGAAAGAAAGATTCACCTCCCCTCCTGGTACAAAATCATGGCATCAGAGATAAGATTCTTCAAGAGTTTCTCTCATTTAAACAGAAGACTTACTTACCTTAAATATCACTAAGCAAGACCTAATTTGAGTATTTCTGTGTACCTAGAACTATGCTAGACACTGTAGACAGAAGATATAAAATTCATGACCTAGTCCCTACCACAGAAAAGAATGGCCCAGGTGCAGGGCAGGAGAACCTCACCAGAAAGCACTCGGTACAATTCCACAGTGTTTGGGACCCCAGAGGGATGCATCTGTTTTTATAAGCACTTGAACATGATGATGGGATAAGTTGTCCTTCAAGCCTGCCCGGCCTGTTTCTGCTCACCCCACTGGCAGGAAAATTCACAGTTCTGAGCAAACTGGGTTAGGGAGGGCATGTTAAAGAGAGAACCTATGAAAGTTCTTAGAGATTTTTTATTTCTTGAAATAAAACCTAATCAACACCTTAAATTTTAATAGGCGGTTGCATCTTCCCCCTCCCATGGGTAACTTCAGGGAGTGCAGTTAACTTCCTGTCCTGTGGCTTACTAGGCATTTTTTAGGAACCCCTTCATTTGTTACGTAATTCCTTTGGCTTCTTTGCTCACAGTCTTGTATGTTGCCTTATCCAAATGCCAGCGCTTTTTTCTTTTTTCAATTATCTTTATTTTTGTTGTCAATGTCTTTTTTTTTTCTCCTTTTTGAAAATTGTCTTTATCTGTTTTGTCAAAAGCATTTTAAAATGTTATGATTGAAGAATTATTTGCTCCCTTGCTCAGGTCACCGGGACCCCTTACATGGTCTTATCTCCCTGTCCCCTAAATGCACGTTAGTGCTTGGATTTCCTTATGCCCCCAAAGGCTGTGCAACAAAAGTGCACTCTGCCGCTCACTTTATCTCCCTTTCTGCTTCCCATTCCTTCTGATTATATAAAAGGACAGTCAGATCCCATGGCTGTGGGGAAAGTAAACAGGAGGAACTTTTTTGCATACTTGTATCAGCTAAGATGTTCCTGCTGCAGGGATCAGAAAACTCCAACTTCATTGGCTTAGGCAGGGGGAGGCTGCCTCACCTGAGCAGTCCAAAGGCGGAATGGCACCAGGCCCAGAATGGTCAGGGCTCAAGCTGCCAGCTTGAGTTGCCGGCTTTTGCTGTAGACCTGGTCTCCTTGTGATGGCAAGATAGCTGCAGAGTTCAGGTACCACACACCGAAGCAGGAAAAGGGCCATCCCTTGTTTGTGTCTATGAGGGAGGGAATTGGTCCAGATGTCCCCATCCCATTCCCCTTGAAGTCCCAATTGGCCAGAATGTGTCATGTATCATGCTTCAACAAATCATGGACAAGAAGATGGGCTTCTCGTGATTGGCCTAGACCCCTGGGGCCTGACGCTGAGTCTAGCATCCCCCTGAACACGCAGCCATTGGGAGGGTGGAAGCTCATCAGGCATCCGTGATAAGGGAACAGGGATGGGTGTTGGGAGACACCTGCATTGTCCATGAGTGCACTCTGAGCTCCAGGAGGACATCTGGGGGATCTCAGAAGCCAGGGACTGGAGTACCCAGCACCCTCCTCTGTGGTGAAGATCTACTGCCCAGGCTCCCTCCAGGCCCTGATGTGCTGTGGAAACACTATGGCTTGCTGTGACTGTGGGTAGCTCTTTTCTCTTCTCAGTAAGTGATGGCTTCTGTTTATACCATTTCTGCTGCCTGGCTTGACATTGTTCCCATCAGCTCACCTGTGATACTAGATTTGGTTCTGTGAAACTGAGATTTGGTTCTGTGAATGATGTTATTCCCCCTCTAAGCAAACACCTCACTCCATTTGGGGCTGGAAGAGTCTTGTTTTGTTTTTTGAGACAGAGTCTCACTTTGTCACCCTTGGTAGAGTGCTATGGCGTCACAGCTCACAGCAACTTCAAACTCTTGGGCTCAAGTGATTCTCTTGCTTCAGCCTCCTGAGTAGCTGGGACTATAGGTGCCTGCCACAATGCCCAGCTATTTTTAGAGATGAGGTTTTGCTCTTGCTCAGGCTGGTCTTGAACCTGTGAGCTCAAGCAATCTACCCACCTAAGCCTCCCAGAGCGCTAGGATTACAGGAATGAGCCTCCCCGCCAGGCCTGAAAGAGTCCTCTTAAAACTGAGCTACATAGCTAGGCCCTGTCTCTACAAAAAATTTAAAAATTAGCCAGGCATGATGGCACATATGTGTAGCCCTAGCTACTTGGGAGGCTAAGCTAGGAAGCTCCCTTGAGTCCAGGAGTTTGAGGTTGCAGCTATGATGACATCACTGAACTCTAGCCTGGACAACAGAGTGAGACCCTGCCTACAAGAAATAAAAATTTTAAAAAGCCTATTTCAAATTGACATGTCTAGCTTGGCACCCATAGCTCAACAGTTAGGGCGCCAGTCACATACACTGGGGCTGGCAGGTTCGAATCTGGTCCAGGCCTGCCAAACAACAATGACAACTTCAACGAAAAAATAGCAGGGTGTTGTGGCTGGTACCTGTAGTCCCAGCTACTTGGGAGGCTGAGAAAAGAAAGTCAATTAAGCCCAAGAGTTAGAGGTTGCTGTGAGCTGTGATGCCACAGCACTCTACCAAGGGAGACATAGCAAGACTCTGTCTCCACAAAAAAAAAAAAAAAAACCTGACACGTCGATGGCACCCAGATCTCACCATTATTATGGATCAGGAAAATCAAAGCACCTTCAACTTCCAAAGAACATATCTCCAGATTCAGAACCTATTTTTTTTTTTTGAGACAGAGTCTCACTTAGTCACCCTTGATAGAGTGCTGTGGCATCATAGCTCACAACCAGTCCAAACTCTTGGGTTCAAGGATTCTCTTGCCTCAGCCTCCCAAGTAGTTGGAACTACAGGTGCCAGGCACAACATCTGGCTATTTTTAGAGATCAAGTTTCGCTCTGGCTCAGGCTGGTCTGGTACTGGTGAGCACAAGCAATCTATCTGCTTCTGCCTCCCAAAGTGCTGGGACCCAGCCAGAACCTATTCTTAAAAGGTTCTTGGAGGCAATGGCAACAATTTAGCACAAAACTGTGTGACAAACATTCTGCAACCTGAAACCAAGAAGAAACTCCTATTTGTTCACAATGCCCGGCTATTTTTTGTTGTTTGTTGCCGTTGTCGTTGCTGGCGCCATAATCACTACACTCAGGTGCCAATCCTGTTTCAGTTAACTTATTCGCAATATAAGAAGACCATCACGGCTCTGCGCCTGTGGCTCAAGTGGCTAAGGCACCAGCCACATATACCTGAGCTGGTGAGTTCGAATCCAGTCCGGCCCGACATCTACAATGATGGGCATTGTGGCAGGCGCCTGTAGTCCCAGCTACTTGGGAGGCGGAGAATTGCTTGAACCCAGGAGTTGGAAGTTGCTGTGAGCTGTGATGCGACAGCACTCTATCCAGGGCGACAGCTTGAGGCTCTGTCTCAAAAAATAAAAAAACCTCGAATTTTTCCGTCCTGTTAGCTGTCTGCTTTTTGAGAACTACCATCCATTTACCCTTAGCTCACTAAGCAGCGCACATTTCTGAGATCCGGGAGGTAATCTGGAGTCAGCGTCCGTCATTCTGCAACCTCCATCCGGCACGGAAGAAAGGAAGAACCTGGGTAATTCCGGTAAAAGCCCACTAAAATCAGAAGCCTTAATGAAAGCTGTAAACACTAACTTTGAAAAATTCCCACGTCTTCACCTGCAGCGCAGGTTCACATACAAGTCAAGCCACCGCCCATTTCTTCCTTTTTTTTTTTTTTTAAAGAGACGACGTCTCGCTCTTGCTCATGCTGGTCTAGAACCTGTGAGCTCAGACAACCCAGCAGCCTCGGCCTCCCAGAGCGCTGGGATTACAGGCGCCAGCCACCGCGTCTGGCCTCTCACCGCCCATTTCTTACACTAAACCACGCCTAGGGCATGACCCACCCAGCGCAGCGCATCAGTGATTGCCGCACCCGCCAATCTGCAGCGGAAGGAAAAGCTTGATTGCCATTGAGTACTACGTCCTTCCATCACCGCCTGAGCCTGCCTCACCCGAGGGTGGAAAGCCCCGGATGTCTTTTGCGGCCCAATCAGTCCCTCGGTGATTGACAAAGCGGTTGTCCAATAGAGCGCAGTGGGTTCAGAAGCGTGCCTGTAGTCGGCCTTCTGTGGCCACGCTGGGGCTGAGGCTACCGACGTTGTATTCAGTTCTCTCTGGGTTCTGGCCCTGGGTATCTCTCGGGGCTGCCGCAGAGCCTGAGTGGAGCCGAGGCCGAGTGGATAGGCTGCAGCTGCCACTCTTCAGCTCAAACCGAGAGATTCGCCTCCGCAGCGATCCTCGGCTGCGTCGGTGTGTGGCCGGGCGCCCTGTCCTTGCACGAGGCCGGCTCCCAGTGTAGATCCTCGGACAGGGCTCGGGGGCCCCGCATTCGCAGGGAGAGTCTGGAGGAGCATTTC